ATGTATTTATTTTTTAAATTGACATAAAATCGAATGTATTTATTGTGTACAACATGATGTTTTAAAGTATGTATACATTGTGGAATGGTTAAACCTAGCTAATTAACAAACGCATAACCTTACCTAGTTATTTTTGTGGTGAGGATACTTCCGTCCATTCTCTTAGCATTTTTCAAGAATACCATATATTGTCATTAAATGTAGCCACCATGCTGTACAATAGATCTCTTGAACTTGTTCCTTCTAACTGTAAGTACATATTCTTTGACCAACATCTCTCCAAGCTCCTGCCCCGTAGCCACCCCTTCCTCTGGTAACCACTATTCTACTTTGCTTTATGAGACCAACGTTTTTACATCCCACACGTGAGTGAGATCATGTGATTCTGTGTCTTTCCGTGCCTGGCTTATTTCACCTAACATAATTTCCTCCAGGTTTATCCATATTGTCACAAATGGCAGGATTTCCTTCTTTTTTATGGCTGAATAGTATTCATTATTCCATTGTGTATACAGTTGACCCTTGAACAACTTGGAGGTTAGAGGAACTGACCTTCCGTGCACTTGAAAATCTGAGTGTAACTTCTCACTCCCTAAAAACTTACACTATTAAAAAAGCCTACTATGGTCCAGAAGCCTTTCCAGTAACATAGTCAATGAACACATATTTTGTATGTTGTATGTGTTATATATTGTGTTCTTAAAATACAGTAAGCTAGAGAAAATGTTATTAAGAAAATCATAAGGAAGAGAAAAATACTGTTACTGTTCATCAAGTGGAAGTGGATTACCGTAAAGGTCTTCGTCCTCATCATCTTCACATGGAGTAGGCTGAGGAGGAGGAAGAAGAGGGGTGGTCTTGCTATCTCGAGTAGGGGGCAGAGGCAGAAGAAAATTACACGTAAGCGTACCCACAAGTGCAAACCCATGTTGTTTGAGGGTCGACTGTATATACATTTCCTTTATTTATCCGTAATCTTATTTTAAAGTCAACTGATTAGAAACCTTGACTGCGTCTGTAAAATGGCCTTCGCAGTGTCGTACAACAGAATCACAGGCACCAAGTCTCATCACAGGCACAGTTCCAGGGATTAGGACAGGAAGTCACGGGGCATTTTAAGACTTAGCCTGCTGCAGTCTGCCTTTTGGCTCCTGAAGATTCGCGCCCTCCCATGTACCAGATCCACCCGCGCCAAGGTTACGAGGATCTTACCTCTGGGCAGTGTCCGTTAAGAGTCCATAATCTCGCGTCTGGGTCACCCGAGTTGGGTGTGGCTGAGGCTCCAGGAGGTGATCCATGCAGCCTTGGGCACCACTCCTCCTTGCTGTGGACCTGTGGACTGAGAGACCAGTGTGAAGGTCCACGTCCCTTGCCACGATATGGGCGGGCCTAGGAAACAGGCTCGTTTCAAAACAGGGGAAAGGGAAGAAACAAGGAGGTGTGGATCCAGAGCTGGGTAAACTTGGGCTTCCAGGCCTGGGATTATCCTCCTGGCTCCATACTGCACCCTGTGGAAGGTGTTCTGCCCCGAGAGTTTTCACTTTCCATGAAAGGTGTTTGTCAGCCCCTGCAGCCAGTGGCACTGGGTCCAGCAGCCCTTCTGCTAGTGCTCTGGCCCTCGCTGTGAGCCAGCGTGTTTCTGGATGTCGGGGCGGGGGGGGATCGGGGGGAACCCTCAGGCTTCCTAGGTGCCTCCTGTTTGGTTGTGAAGATATGTGACCTCTTGCTCTTTCCTCAATTTCAGCAAAAGTTTCATGGCCAGACCCTCACCCTTTTCTCTGGGCACAC